GTTACCGGACATCGTGCCTCCTTTCTATGTGAAGATATTGTTCTCTGCACTAATAATAAAAATAATTGGTGTTGTGTGGATATTTATAAAGCGTGTAGTTGGTGAGTCATTTTCAAAGTTGCACCGAGTCACTCGCTGTAGGTGAGCAATTTAGCCAGTGCAGTACAACCGCTAGCCTGGGGTCTTTAACGAGCACCATGCAGTAGTGATACACAACCGCACGCCTCTACTATGCTCATCCAGATAGAAACGGGCAGGGGTGGGGATTGAACCCAGGATTCCTGGGTTCTGCTTCTGCAGCGCCTGCTTTCGCCCCATGTGCTCCGAGCTGGTGTGCGCTAGCCACCCGGCCACCGATTCCTCCGCTGCACTAAACATATTTTCAATCCAGATTTTTCCAAATAGGTGCTGCCACCTGGACGCGCTACTGAGTGGCTAGAAAACGACGCGTTTGCAAGGTCTCCCCTACCCAACAAGGTGTAAAGTTGGGCGAGTTGGTTGATGAGCATATTGAATGGGTTAAAACAGCGCAAAAAAGACGAAGGACCAGTAAAAGGAAACACACAGACACAGCGCTGATCTGTGTGTTTCCTTTTACTGGTTCTTCGTCATTTTCGCGCTGTTTTAACCCAGTCAATACTCCCCTACCCGTTCGACACCCAAAACGTCAGCTAGGTTCTGTTGGCCCATTCGGACGCCGTGTCGTAACCACAGCTCCACCAAACTTCGCGATTCTCCCCAGTGTAGATTGTCTTATACCCCTGCCAGACGGGCTAGTTTAGTGTCACTACAAGCGAGTGCACTTCAGCCCGTCGAAGCACACTCCAAATGTGTTGGTGCCACATGGGAAAACTTAAGGCCCGTTCACACGATGCATTTTTTTCGCGCATCTAGTGTAGCGAAACGTAGTCTCGCAAAATGGTTGCGCCGTCTGAACGAGTCCGAAAAGGACGCGCGCATCTAAAAAAAGTTGCGCGCACACCTCGCTTCTGGAGCGAGCTTTTGCTGAATAATAATTGGGTTGTGTGTATGTTTATACAGCCTAGAACTTGGTCTGCCTCACAGGGGCGACGAAGCTTTTGCTGAAACTTTGCCGAGTCCTGTCAATCACTCTGAGGGCGCCGCCAATGGCCGCTCAGAAACGCTCTCACGTGGCCTTTGAGGGGGGAGCGAGCTGTTTGAGAAGACCGCTTCACTGCCGGTGTTGTAGCCGAGCCAAATCCGAAAAAAAAACCGAAACCACGAACGATGGATACTGCCGGCGCTTCCGCAAGCACGTCAAGCTCCACTGAAGGAAAAGTGAGTATCATATCGGAAAAAAATTCAGCGATGGACGAAGACGTAATTGGTGATGATGATAATTCGCGTCTATTTTTAGTCATAATTATGAAATAAAACCTTCAGACAAGGAAACAAAAGGGGACGTACACAGTACCGTCTCAAAACCAGCACAGCGTACAGCTCTGATTTACTTCCACAGCAGTCTTCTTCTTTGTCAACCACCATCCAAATTATACATATTCAACAGTAAATAAAGTAAATGGCAGTAAATGACAATTCAACAACTAGTAAATGACAATTTAAGAGTAAATTAAGTAAATGGAAGTAAATGACAGCTGTATGCTGTGCTGGTTTTAAGACGGTGGTGTGTATGTCCCTTTTTGTTTCCTTGTCTTAAGGTTTTATTTCTTAATTATGATTGCTCATCAGCTCGCCTGCGTTTTGACTCTTAGAATGTGGCGGGAGATGGAGAACACGACGCTGAATGGCTAATGGTGATGATGATGATGTTGACTTTCAACTGAAGCGCCACTTTATGGTCAACACCCAAACTATTTTCGTGAGTCTAAACGTCATCGTTGTTGCACATGAAGCGGTACGTGTGAACGAGCACATTTCGCGAAACTTGAGCGTCGAGAAAATGTTGCGCGCCTAAAAGATGCATCGTGTGAACAGACCCTTATTGTCACTCCAAAATGATGGCAATGACGATGGGTAAGTAATGGGCACGCAAAATATTAGAGTGCATAGGAATTTTTTCATAAATAACTTCGTCGTCTTATTAGAAACACGTTACCACACATTGTTGCGCTAAGTCACAAGCTTTAATCCAAATTTAAATTCAATTTGATAATTACGATCAGCCATTCCAACCCAGTGATACACGTCCGCACGCCGGTACGATGCTAGACCAAATCGAAACAAACAGGGGTAGGGATTGAACCCAGGATACTTGGGCTCTGCAGCGCGAGCTTTCGCTCCGCGTGCTCCAAGCTAGTATGCGCGAGCCCACTCGGCCACTCGCCACTCGCCACAGCGAAACAAAATGGAGTATGTGGAGGTCGACCTGGAGGGCGATATCCGCGATGTTGGACAGTGGAGGCGCGTGGTTGGGTCACTTTTCTCCGTGACAGCCTAAACGCCTTTCAGATGAGAGGCAGCTGGAACTGGATGCCGACGCACAGGCAAGAAATTTAAGTGACATCGATGAGCAGCTGCTGGGGTGCTATGTTGCGCTTTTTGCACTCCCAGGAGACTTGGAAGAGGGAAGTGACGTCAACGACACAGCAAATGCAGATTGGATGTTGACAGAAGAAAACGAAATCAACACCCAATCTGCGTTTGCTGTGTCGTTGACGTCACTTCCCTCTCCCTAGTCTCCTGGGAGTGCAAAAAGCGCAACATAGCCCCCCAGGGCAATGCCTTCACCATACCCGCTCTCATGACCGACAACCTACCCGTGATCAGTCGAGAACGGTGGACTTCCCAGAGAAATGAACAGTGGTTCGAAGACACCTTGCCCCATTTGGGCGAGTTCCATTTCAAGCAAGCTTTTCGCGTCTCTCCTGCCACCTTCAGATTCCTGGTGGAGTCTCGCAGGTGCCTCCTGGCCGTCGCTGGCCGTCGCACAGGAGCCAAAGCTGGAAACTAGTTTAGCCGCTTGTTTTTCTACAATGCACTACTTTCCTGCCAACAGAAAATAAGTGCGCATCTAATATTACTCCTATAAAAATAATACCAATTTTACGCAGAGTTAATTTCTTCTATTATTTTTACTCCTTGAACACTGCTATCGAGATTACACACTTGGTCTACCGGAGCGAGCGTAGTGTGCTCCCCGAACTCACTTCATTGGAAGTGTCTTCTTCGGGCAGTGCTGGGGATTGAGCTCAGGATCACTGGGTTCTCCCCAGCGCGAGCTTTCTCTCCACGTACTTCGATCTTGTGGGCGCTAGCCCACTCCGCCACCGATACCCCTTAATAAAGACACGTTAAAAAAAAAATTTGACGTTTACAATTCTCTGTAATGCCGAATCGGAGCGCAGCTCTTGAGGAGGAGGGGGGAAGGGTACGAAGGGGAGGGTAAGCCAGCTGCTCCCCCTCCGTACCCTCCCATCCTCCTCCCCTGTTCCGATCCCACTTAGCGTAAAACTTTCGCGAAGTTTCCCGCTAAATTAAGCCGGGAAATTTTTCCGCTGAATTGACGTGTGACGCCACATGACACGTCACCTGAAATTTTAAGTGGGACTTCACGTGACGTCACACAGGTAAAATTTGCCCTCTAAATTTAGCAGAAAACTTTTCCACCAAACTTAGCAAAAACCTTTACCGCAAATTTTAGCGGAAAATTTTACCCTCGTGACGTCACACGTGATGACACACGTGACGCCACGTGTGACGTCATTTTGGGAAACAGCCCTTAAGGCAACGCGCGGTTACGCCGACGCCGCTCAACTCAGAAACGGGTTCCTAGGAGCTGTGCTCTAAAACAACGTTACATTAATGAACGATTTTTACGCCAATTGGTTGATTCTGATCGATCATCGCAATCCTAGATAAAGAACGAAGCATATGCAACTTTGGCGTTCCGCTTCGTTCCGTGGAAATCCACGAGGAGGTCCTGAAACTGCCTAATTAGATCATAATTATCCTGTTGTCTCGAATAGTTACATGCTGAAACAAAAGTACGCTCCATCGTTCTCTGCTAACCAAGATAGCCGTTGAATGACTGACCTTGTCGTCGTCTTTTATCAATTCGCGCTGCGCTAATCTTGGTTCAGATCAGCCTAAACTCCAAGTTCACCCCACTATTTTTTTTTTTTTTTGCAATTCCTCTCTTCTACATGTCCTTTCTTTCACGAATTTCTTTTTCTTTATAAAATAAAACTTACTCCACCCTTTTGGTTTCTGTGTTATGTTTTACTATTGAAACACTCCTATTGATGCCACGCACTCGATCGAGCGAAGTGAGTTCGTCAAACTCACTCGAAGCCAAGTGTGTTCCTCAGTAAGGAGCCGTGTGGCACACTACAGAAATGACACTAAGGGCGAAGTGCACTCGATTGTAGTGACACTAAACTTGCCCGTCTGACAGGGGCTGAACTTGATACAAAGAAGTCATCTTCTATCTCTCGCTCTCTCCCTCGGCAGAACGAAGCAAAGAAAGAGTGAAGAGACAAAACCAAAAGGCACGCAAAGACCTGCTAAACCAGCTCGCGTGCACTTCGACGGGTTTTTGTTCCTTCTTTTATCTGTTTTTTGTAGGAAGGAAACCCTTCGAACTTGTGAGTTTGCGTAATATTGTTTGTAAGGAGAGTTTGGTTCTTTGTATAAGTGCTTCCCACTTCGTTGTGGGCGAGCAAGCTGACGAGTTAGGATTTGCAAACAACGAAACCACAAAAAAGAAAAAAAAAGATTAAGTCGCCATTTTGAATGACGTGAAGAAATCCTTAGAGCGGTGTAAAGAATGCCAGGCCTTGCGTTTCGTAAATGCAGGTGACAGTGTAATTGACATTTTTCAGAGTTTGGCCACGATCGTGGCGCGCCCTCACGAAAATCGCTCGAAACACTTTTGGTGGCTCCGGGAACGTCTCTCCATCGTCCGCGCCAGGCCTGGCTTGTCTCCCGGTCCATGTGTTTGCGTGTGTTCTCTGGTGGCGTTGTTGCCCCTTTACCAATTTGTTGTTGTTGTTGAAAAACTTTATTGAGTTCAAAGATTTAGGAAAGGGAAGGGGAGAAAGGGGAAGAAAAAGGAGAGAGTGGTTGTGTGCCCCTATTCCGGGGCTCCAAGTGCGGAGTGAACTCGGAGTGCTCGGGCCACGAGCAGCCTCTGCTCGCTAGCCGTCGCGTACTTGAGTCCCGCTTCCCACTCCTCGAGTTTGGGCTCCTCGACTGGAGCCAGTCCTGGGAGGTTCTTGCATGCCCAGACAACGTGATAAACGTCCACCCAGGGCTCACCACAGAAGGGACAGTCCGCCGTGGCGTACCGCTCTGGGTACCACAGATGTAGCTGGATCGGTGTGACGAACGTGTCCGTCTGAAGTCGTCTCCACGTGAACTCTTCTTCTTTGCTGAGACCTTTGGCCGGCCCAGGATATTCTGCCCTATGTGTTCGTAGAGCCTTTAAGGCCTCACTGTAAGTGAGCGCACTGTCCAGATCCCTCTGGGGCAGAACCGAGTCCCGGTATAACGCACCTCGGGCCGCAGCATTCGCCGCCTCGTTTCCGACTTGCCCCATATGGCCGGGGGTCCAAATCAGATGTACTCCCTCTACTGCGGTTTTGCGGAGGAGCCTTAGAGCTGGTTGACCCACGACCCCTCGCGCAAAGTTTTGACAAGCTCTTTGTGAATCCGAAATTATCGTCGCACGAGGATTGCAAACCACTGCCAATGCTATGGCCGCCTCCTCCACTTGTTCAACCGTCTGCGCTCGTATGGAGGCGACGCGTCTGATCCGCCCTTTCGCACCGGCCACCGCTATTGCAGCCACCCCCAGCACCGGACCGGCCCCATCCACGTACAGGGTTCCCTCTCTGCTGTCCCAGGAACGCGCTAGGGCCACCGCTCGCGCTTGTCTCCGTTCCGCATTCCTATCCGGGTGCATGTTGCGGGGGATTCTACTGATCGTGAATCTCTGCCGGGTCTCAGCCGGCAGCTCTTCCCCCGCGTCTCCGGGCCCGTGAGAACCGCCGGGTACTGCCATTCCCAGTTTGTCCAGGAGCCACGCTCCATTCACTGTGGAAGAGAGTCGCTTCAGCTGTGACACTAGTTGAGCTTCATGAAGTTCTTCTATGGTGTTATGCACCCAAAGTTTAAGCAGTTTCTCGGTCGCCGTACGCTCCGGTAGCCCCAGCGCGTTTTTGTACGCTCTCCTTATCAGTACGTTTAGCCTTTGCATCTCCGCCTTGTTCAAGTTCAGGTACGGAGTGCCGTACGTCAGTCTGGCAATAATGAAGGCCTGGACCAACTGTATTGCCTCTTTCTCCTTTATACCGTGTCTACGGTTCCTAATTCGCCTCATCATACCGCACACCTGCGTGGTCATGGCGTCCAGTCTGTCGATAGTCGACTTGTTCCCCCTCCCCTGTTGTAGAAGCTGGCCCAGAATCCGAACCTCCGCTGGTTTTGGGACCCGGACCCCATCTATCACCACGTCAATGTGATCGACTAGCTTATCGCGAGGGTTTCGGGAGACAAGAAGCTCAGATTTCTCCGGGGTGCACTTAAGCCCGCATCTCATAACGTACTCTCCGACGATATCCGCCGCCGCCTGAAGCTTCTCTTCTATTTCCGCGTCACTGCCCTCCCTGCACCACAGGGTGATGTCATCCGCGTAGATGGCATGCTCCACGTTCGGAACCGCCCTCAGCGCTTCTGGTAGACCCCGCAGCGCAAGGTTGAACAGCAACGGGGAAAGTACTGCCCCTTGCGGCGTACCCCTGGAACCCAGTCTGTATGTCCCAGATTGCATACTTCCCAACGTCAACGTGGCTGTCCTGTCCGTCAAGAAACTGCGGACATATTCGAAGGTTCTTCTCCCGCAGTTAACTGTGCTGAGACCCCTAAGTATGCTTTCGTGCGAAACATTATCAAACGCGCCTTTCAAGTCTAAAGCTAGAAGGCCTCTCGTTTGCCCGCTCCTCGGATTCTCCAGTATATCCTTATATATCCACAAGAGTATGTCCTGCGTCGATGTGTGAGGTCTGAACCCGAACTGCGTGTTCGGAAGGAGTTGTTCCTTGTCTAGATACTTCATAACCCTGAAGTTTATGACTCGTTCGAACGCCTTGCCCAGGCAAGATGTAAGCGAAATCGGCCGCAGATTTTCTAGCTTGAACTCCTTTTTGGGTTTTGGAATGAAGCGAATGTCAGCAACCTTCCAACTATCTGGAGTAAGCCCGCGCTCCCAGAAATGTTCGTTGAAATGGCGTACCAGCTCTTTCAGGTCCCCTTCCCCTAAGTTGTAGAGGAGTTTCGCTGTGAGGGAGCCCGGTCCGGGTGCTGCGCCCTTCCTCATAACCCCGAGCTCATACTCCAACTCCGCGACAGTAATTGGCCTGTCTAATTCAGGGTTTTCCTGCCCTTCATACTCCACGATTTCTCCTGTGGATTCCAAACACAAATACCTTTCCGCCAGCCGATCCATGATCTGCTTGCGGTCCCCGGGTAACTTATGTATCAGCTCCGCTAAACGGCCGCCCGTCACCGCCTTTGCCCTACTCGGATCGATTAAGGCCCTAAGCATCCTCCATGCCTGAGCCGTGCCTAGGCTTCCCCGTATAGAGTCACACAGGCCATACCAGTTCTTCCTAGCCAAGTCCACCGCATAGTCCTCGGCCAGCTTTGTGAGTGCTTGAATCCTCTTCCTCAGCTTCTTGTTGTAGCGCTGTTTCTTCCATCTCCAGGTCAGCCCGCGTCGTGCTTCCCAAAGATGAAGCAGACGCGTGTCCACTGCTGGGGTCTTCTCTGAGAGTTCAACTTCAGCCACGAACGGCTTGACACTGGCGATCACCTCCGAAGACCAATCCTCGATGTTCTCGATGCTAGCTGCACCTTTCCTTCTCTGTTTTCGCCATCGGTCCCAATCCGTTATTCTTGCCTTTCCCGTCTTTCTTGTGTATCCGGACTCGTGAATAGTCGTTTCAAGGATACAATGGTCGCTACCTAGTTGCTCCATGAGGTTAGTCCACTCAGCGTTCGCCACGTTCTTGACAAGCGTCAGGTCCGGACAGGTGTCTCTGCATGAACTCGTGCCCGTCCTGGTTGGCTGATCAACCTCGGTAAGCAATGTTAGGCGTTCCTGGTTGATGCTTTCCGCCAGCCTTCTGCGTTTCGGAGAAACGTACTTGTAACCCCATCCCGGGCGAGGGGCGTTGAAGTCTCCCGCAATAACCACAGGGTCCTTCCCCGCCACCTTGACCACCTTCGCGATGAGCCGCCTGTAGTCCGTCTTATGGTTCTTTGGATTTCCATACACGTTCACCACATGTACACCCCGATCCCCTTTTTTCACTGGGATGATCACAATGTGACAGCACGACACCTCACAGCCATCCAAGTCTAGTCTCGTGGCTGCGTAGGTCTTGTGCACAAGCGTCGCGACGTATTGGTCGCCCTCAATTGTAGCATAGTCTTTGATCTTCACTGGTTTCTTGCCCGGCTCCTGCAGCAGTATCACCGCCGGGGGATTAGGTTCAAGCGACACCCTCAGGCTAAGGCTCGCCTGTTTCGGACCCATCCCCCGGCAGTTCCACTGCCACACTTTCAAACTTGACTTTGCTGACTTGCGCATGATTCTGCGTCCGAAATTTCTGCGTCCCGTAGAGGCTCGCCCGTTTTTCTCCGCTTCGAGACGAACTGCCTGAAGAGGCTCTCTTGGTTTTGCTCAAGAGTCTTTCCTAATTTCTCCAGCTCGGTGACCCTGCATGTCAGCTGCATCAGTTGGCTGGTGAAGAATTCTTGAAGTCCCTGGATCGCCCGCTGAACGGTCGTCTCCACGATCGCTTGTACTTGCTCTGCCGAGACTCCCCCGGTTCTTTCTCTTTTGTTCCAAAGTTCCTCTATGGTCTTTTTGCAGTGCGTCACGTCCCTCCGCAGGTCTTGTATCGCTCCGTTGCTGCTCGCCCCTCCACCTTTGGGCTGGGACGTGCTCCTCGACTCCTGATCCCCGACCCTTGGGAGTTCCGGCCACTTCTTGCGATTGCCTGGATCAGTGAAGATCCCTTCCATAGAGGTGCTTCGCTTGCTCTTTTTTCGCTTGCCCTTTTGCCGGCGCCGCTTGGATGTAGTCATATCTCGAGACGCGCTTCTCCCACAGCTGGCGGACCGGCTGCGCGAGCGGGTGCGCGAGTCTGACACGCTCCGTCCCGACTCTCTCGAAAGCCACCGCACGTGCTGCGCGCCGTGGCGACGTCTCCCCCGACTCCGTCTAGGCTCCCTGCTTTTAGTCTCCTTGTAGAACTTCTCCGGGCAGTGTCTGTCGTAGGTCTTATGGGCCCCCCCGCACAAGGCACACTTCGGCACACACTCATGGTCCTCACCGACCTCAGTGGCCCTGCACGCCGAGCACGCAAATCCCTTCGGCTTGCTGCATACGTCGGTCCGATGGCCCACTTCACCACAGTTCAGACAAGCCGCCCTAGTCTTCTTATAGATAAAGCAGGGAGTCTCAAGCCAATTGAAGCTCACCGTGAACGGTACCTTCTTCCCCGCAAATACGATTACCGCAGACTGTGACTTCCCTAGCCTCCTTGCTTCTAGAACTTCGTATCCCACAGCTCTGGTTTTCTGTCGAATCTGTTCGTTAGTCAGGTCAGGCCGGACACCGTGTATGACGCCGCGGCACGCATCTTCGCTCGGGGAGACATGATACGCTTCGACGTCTAGCACGCCGACAGGAAAATTCAGTTTCTTGATACCTGCGACGGCTTCCGCTTCGCTCCATTCGTCCGTACAAACCATGATTGTATTCTGTGCTTCCAGCAGCCTTACGACCGTCTTCTCGTCCAATCCTCTCGGCAGGGAGCTCTGGACCGCTTCCCCGATCAGGCTCCTGTACCGCTTCAGGTCCACCGCACCCGATGAGGTTTGATAATGACCTTGTGCTTGTAAACTCTGAGACTGGGCAACCTCAGAGTTTTCCTCGACTTGAAATTCTCCGCCGTTGTTCCCCCGGCTTCATCTCGAACCTGTTTCTCGAGGCCTTGTGTCTCCCTCTTGCTCTTTTTCTTCTGCATCAGTACTTGCACCCAGCCGTTGCCGGGTCCTCCGTCCTCCTGGTCCCCCAAGGTGGCATCCTTGATTCCATCATCCCGGAGTGGCCGCTGAGCCGGGCTGATAAATCCATGCGCCACCTCGTCTGGGTTATAGCCGATCACTCGACCGGTACCTGGAGTTTCTTGGGTCCTTGTATCCATCCTCCAGTTTTCAGCCCCCACCAGGACGGCGACCGCCACGCGATAGGCCTAGCTAGGCGGCCGCTCCGAGAAGCTCGGTGCGGCGCGCCCTGCGGCGCGAAGCCTAACGAGTGTTAACAGGCCCTCCGTGGGCCAGAATCGTGACAATGTCCTTGAAATGAGAAAGATTCGGCTCACCGGCATGAAAGTGGTATCGAGCGAAACCGGAACGTTAGCTCTGTCTTCTCCAATACTTTTCACCGCACAGAAAAGGAATTTTCCAAGAAAAAGGAAGATTTTCTGCGGAGCCCATAGAACATGCGTCCGCTCTCAGCACGTGCGTGCACGCGCTCCCTACCAATTTGAAGGTGTCTTTCTGTTGTCGCTTCGCGTGCATATTTTCTTCGGAATGGTTGAGAAGGACCGGGGCCGGTTTGCTCATCTTGCGGCCGCGGACGCGGCTGCGGCCAAGAGGAATTTTTATGTCACGTGACCAGCTCCTTGGGGACAAGGAAGTACCTAGCGTCCCTGCCTAATGGCGGAGAAATCCGTATCGCTTCAAGCACAAAAGCCTGATTTCGCTCGCAGAAATTGACTGCATGGACTTTCAACCGGAGTCTAATTGACCGCCCCTTTATACTGTTGGAGCGGCAGGTAAAGTTACGGCCAGGGACGGTAAATATGAGCCGAAAGAAAGAAAAAAACCACGCGAGATAAAAGCGGTGGCAGTGTATTTATATACCCCCGCCAGCGCCGGCGTCCCGCGCCTTCTGTTGTGGTCGAGGGAGAAAGAAGACGCCGTTCCAAACGGACGCTTTTCAATGTTCTCCAAGGAAAACTCACCGGCCACAGGTCGGGGAACTGTTGAGGCTCCGGCCGGTACTAAGGGAACTATGACTGAAGAATACCGGACCATCCTGCCACTGTTGCCAACAGGAGAAATGGTGAAGAACAGCGTGGTGTTGCACTGCGACACCGGCGGACGCCCATACCGGGCCGAAGATTTCGTACGACCGTTACAACAGGCTGGAGTATTGTCGGAGTTGGCGGGTCTCGGAGCCTATCAGATGGGTCACGTGTGGCTCCTCAAGTTGAAAACACCAGAGGCCAAGGAGAAGCTGCTGCAAGCCGGTGAAATCCGGGTGAAGGGACGTCGCTGCTTAGCGATTGACCCATATCGGAGAGAGGTCAGGGTGAAGCTGCATTGGGTGACCTTTGACGTGCCCGTCGACACTGTCCGCCGCGCTTTCGAACCGTACGGCGAGGTAAAGAGCGTCGTGCGTGAGATGTGGAAGGTGGACGGACTCGTGGGCGTCGAGTCTACAACGCTGTCCGTCCTCCTAACTCTCCGCCAGGACCTAACACTGGAGAGCCTGCCGCGCCAGCTTCCATTCTACGGGGGCACGGTCCTGGTAGTGGTTCCGGGGCATGCGCCAGTCTGCCTACGTTGCCGACGCATTGGGCACATACGGCGTGAGTGTAGGGCGCCTTGGTGCTCAGAGTGTCGTGATTTCGGGCACGAAAGCACGGACTGCACCCGCAGGTATGCCCGGGCTGTGGCAGTGCACAACGATGGTGGCGGCGTCAACGAGGAACTGATGGACGAAGTCGAGGCCGAGGAAGCTGCAACCGTGGCCGGGAGTGCGAACAGTAAAGGTGCACACGGTAGCAACAGTCAAGCACCTTCTGAGGCACCGAATACCACGAATGAGGAACGGCAAGGAAAGTCGGAGGCTGAGCATACTTCTTCGACGACGCAAAGGAGCGAAGACAGGACTGTGCCTGGATTTGATACAACGAATACCTCCGAGGGCGAGAAACACGGCAACGACATGGACTTCAACCCGGCGATGATTAAGCGAAGACACGAAGGGGCAGATACGGCTGTGGCTGGACCAGGTGAGCAGCCTCGGCAGAGCTCGCAACAAGAAGGGGACGACGTCAAGAACAAGAAAAGCCGCGGGGGGTCTCCAAGGCGGTCATCGTCCTTGTCTCAGGGCAGCCCGCCGCCCCAGTAACTGTTTGTTATTGAGGCATGATATGCTCTTTGTGCGTACACGCAAATGACCACACCAGTCCTTGAAAAGCCATTGCGTGTAGGCACGTTGAATGTTCGAGGTCTAAGCGATAGGCGTAAGCAGTATCAGCTGAATCGCCTGTTTATAGACCAAGAGCTAGACATAGTTGCAATACAAGAGACAAAGGTGGAGAGCGACGAGCGCACTCAGAGCATTTTACGACCCTTTACATCGCAGTACAACGTTTGTGCAAGTCATGCAGTAGGAACTTCCGGAGGTTGCTCTTTGTTCCTAAAGGATTCAATCGGTATAACTGTAGAGTCTGTCGTCACATGTCTAACGGGTAAGCTTGGGATTTGTGATTTTACATACTATTCGACACACTGGCGTGTTATTTGTCTGTACGCGCCGAAGTCTGCAGTCGACCGCAAAATCTTCTTTGAATTTGTCCATGGCTACTGTATGTGTAATGTTATTTTGCTAGGAGATTTCAATTGTGTCTGTTCAGCAAAAGATAAGACCGGAGTGACCCCGTACAGAGATGCTGGCACGTTGGTATTGAACGACATCGTCAGCGAGGCAGGTCTCTATGACGAAGCGGAATGCATCAGTCACGTGGGAACTGTTCAGTACACTCATTTCCAAGGAACCAGTCACGCTCGGTTAGACAGAGTTTACATATCATTAGAACAAGTGCCGGTTTGAAATGAGTATCAAGTAGTTCCGGTATCGTTCAGTGACCACTGCTTAGTTTCTTTTGTTTTGGGAAGCACGCATAGGCGACCAAAGTTTTCCTGGGAACTATAGAAGTTGAACTGTCGACTCCTAGACGACGAAGGGTTTACAAAATTGGTACGAGGCAACAAGTTAAAAAAAGTTTCAAGCAACTACGCAGCAGAATGGGAGGGTTTTAAAGAAGAGTTTAAAATGATAGCTATAGAAAAAGCCTGTGCTGTAAAGGCACTTCAGAGACATGAGGAGGCGATCCTGCGTAGAAACTTTCAAACGCTCATCAGAGAAGAAAGTAAGTCACCGGGCGAATTCAAAAACGATATACGTGAATTGAAGGAAAAAATGGAAGTCCTTGATCAAGAGCGTTATCACGGAGCTCTTATCAGAGCACGAGCAGAAAAGTTCGCTGTAGGGGAATTTCCGACGAAAAAGGCGTTGGGCATGGAAAAACGTTATCCACGAAAGAACACTATCAGCGAAATCGAAAAAGATGGAAAGATTATGAAGGACCAAACAGATATTGAACAAGCGTTTTTTGAGTATTATTCAAACTTGTTCGCTCACAGCCCAGTGAAAGTTACAGAATTTATGGAGGAGTTCTTAGTGCTTTTGCCGAAGCCAAATGATGAGACAAAGGAATTTCTTGA